TATAGGTATCAGATTTCAAGAAGAGGAGATGGCATATCAGACTTCTTCCCATACAGGAACCAGGAGTAAATCCCCACTGAGGTTCCTGCAAGAAGAAAAAGATACAACACCTGAGAAAAACCGTCAGTCTCATGCGACAGGGGTTGTCTGAAGGTGAGTCATCTGCATTGGCACTTGAGTTTGCAGTAAGAATGTGGATGTGGAATATCAGGGAAAATAAACAGGACATGCAACTTTGAGCATCCCAAAATATGCCACGCTCTGATCCACCAGGAGGCCTGGTCACAGACTGGGCTGCGGGGGCGTTGACCCCCGGAACTTTCTCCAGGTAAACTCCAGGACCTCCTGTCTAATGGAGTGTGTCGTTCTACCTCTCGCAAATTCTTCCACCCTGAGATGTGTCATTCTTCAGTCCTCGAAAAACAACATTACAATACCAAGTGCCCTGCATACCACCTAAAAGGGGACCAGGAGGCACACACCCTGTATAACAAATCATAGTTATGGTAGCTATGACGGCTCGACTCCAAGTGATTTTTTAGTGGTAAGAAATGAAGAAAGAAAAATAGAAAGAGATAACCTTGTTGGACTGGAGGCACAGCCACTGGCCCCTCCGGACTCACAACTACTGATGCCAACAATGAAATCCCCCCAACAAACATGCAATACAACTTCATTTATATTTGTTAATATACCAGGCCTTAAGGCACCGAAAATGGAGGAATATAGCAAATAATATTGTTGCAGTAATAACACCAGGAGGCAGCTCTGATGAAAACTCACACTCACACGAGCTTTTAAATCTGCACAAAATTCAATTTAAACCAGCAAATAATAGAGCCTACTAGAATGGAGAATACACTAGACCTTATCTTCACTAACAATGATGATCTGATAAGAAATGTCACCATATAAAAAACAATATACTCAGATCACAACATAATTGAGGTTCAGACATGTATGTGTGGAGCCCCAGACCGACAAAATGAGATTAGTCACGAGGGAGCATTCACCATTTCAACTTCAATAACAAAAACATAAAGTGGGACCAAGTAAACCAAGTCCTAACCGATATAAGCTGGGAAGATATACTAAGCAACACAGACCCCAACTTATGCCTAGAACAGATTAACTTGGTGGCACTCGATGTATGCACAAGGCTTATTCCTCTAAGAAAAAGGAGGAGTAGATGTAAAATAGAAAGAGACAGGCGCTCCCTTTACAGGCGACGGAAAAGAATAACAGAGCGGCTAAAAGAGGTCAATCTATCTGAAATGCGTAGGGAGACTGTAGTGATACTGGTCCTGTGGGGAGCAGCAGCAGGATAGTACTGCACCACCTCTTGGGGCCCTTAACAACAACAACAGTTTGGTTTGTGTCATGGGCGCCAACACATGGTGTGTAATTCTCTCCTACTATATCCATTTATCAGTGATGCAGATTACATGGTGAGTTTAAATATGTGGCCTGTAGTTATAACTTTTCTCTTGACATATGCAAGACATCACCATCCCTGTAGAAGCCATTATTAGATGTACTAGTCATTATATTTTGTTGTTGCAGAAGTACTATGAAGATTCTATGTTCAATAAAGCCTAGAGATAAGGCCCCGTGTTTCTATCACAACAATTTTTTTGAACAAGAATCCTGGGCTACCGGTGGTGATCCTGAGCTAGACTACATCACAAAAATGGAGCGTTTACTGAAAAACCCGAGAGGCTAGACTGTGACCCCAGCTTATCAACGGCCTGCTCAGGAATGGAAGCACTGGTTTAAGACTTCGAAAACTTCTTGGAGCCCTTCCTAAAAGATTTTAGATAAACTAAGTCTGCTCATCAATTTTGTGTCACCTAAGATATATGAGGCCATTTCTGGGGTGGGAATACCTACGAAGATGCTATCAAAACCCTCAAGTCTCAGTATATTAAACCTACAAATGAAATCTTTGCACGCTATCGCCCCTTGCAACCGCCGCCAGCAGATTGATGAATCCTTAGAGGAATACTTTCAAAACACTGAAAATTTTAGGTAAGGACTGTCACTTCCAAGCATTGACAGCTGCTCCCGTATTGTGAAGAGTCCATCAGGGATGCTTTTAAACAGTGGCCTGCAATCACCAATAATAAGGCAGCGTATATTGGAGAAAAAAACTCTCGACTTAGCCGCTGCCTTTGACCAGGGAAGAGCTCTAGATTCAGCCCAGGGAAAAATTCTGAAGTATACAGTAAACCCCTCAGCCTTCTCGGTGGTAAAATGCTGCAATTCCTGACCCCAAAACTCTTTCAATGAAGTTACTGTGGAACCTGCCTCAGTGACAGCGAGCCAGTGGGGGTTTTTTTTTTTTTTTTGCCCCGTGTTTCTCG